ACGGATGGTGAAGGGGCTGACATCAGCTAGTCGCTCGGCTATCCTCCCCCACCAAGCCCTGAGTCATGGGATGGCGGCGTCAGGATCGCGAGGGTGGATCAGCCCGTTCACGTAGAACGGCGTGTAGCCGGAAAACGCATGCACTGCATTGTTCAGTGTAAACTCTACGAGTGGCACTATGGCGCTCCAGCGCATCGGCGTCTCAGCGCAAACGCTGCGAAGAACATCTTTGATGACGTGTTTTACCCTTTCGGTTTGACCATCGGTCTGCGGAGGATCCGCCGTCGACATATCTAACTTGGTGCCGAGCACCTTACAGATAGTCGCCCAAAATTTTCCCGTGAAACGGGGGTCTCTATTAGACACAATTGACTCTGGGAGTCAATGTTGTCGAGAAACACGATCTACAAACAGCGTTGCTGTACCGACTCCGTCGATGGTGTCTGGCACCGCTGCCAAATGATCCATCTTGCTCAACCGGTCGATACCATGACACCCGTGTTGCCCGCCGAATCTTTCGGTAGGCCAAACACTAGGTCCAAACTCATGGATACCAGCACCCAGTGGGTACTGGAAAGCTGGCCAGTGGCGCAACCGCATTTGGATAGGATTTAACCCGTTGGCACGTCTCACACGTGCGCACATAGGGGCTCGTTCAATTGTACAACTTGGGCAACCAATAGTGGTGACTCACAGAGTTGTACGTTTTTCACGACCGAGATGACCACTGAGTTCCGTGTCGTGCGCCTCATAGAGGATGTGGTATTTCGAATCCTCATCATGAGGAACCGCAATTCGTGGTGTATCCGATGGATCGGTGCTATAGTACAGCAACCCATTATTCAACGAATATCGGTGCAATCGAGCACGCAGTCTTTGTGACAATTTCTTGTTCAAGTTTCCAAACTCCTTGCTCCCTAGAGCCCGTAGCAACGCTACACACATCTCATCACCGCATACGCGGTGCGGATCAAATCTGACACAGACGACGTACCAGTTGTAACATGAGCAAGCTCATAGTCTGGTCTGCGTGACAACGCATCAGCGAATGCAATCTGCTTTCCCTGCATATAACCTACCTCGAATTACATTTCGCAAAGAAGGATAACCATCTAGCCATTCTCTGCGAGAGGTGGGGCGACTGTGTCGCAGTGCGTAGTGACGCATGATCTGTATAGATCACAAACTGTTTTGAGCCGAGCAGGTGGACCTTGACAAGTGCAAACTTCCTCGCAAGTAGCTCCTTGTCATGACCTGGGTAGCTCCTCTCCGCAGCTTTGAGCTTTCGAGATTCGAACGCGACCACCCGATCTTGCCCCTCGGCGTCTGCTTGCAGTAGTGCACAGCCAATGGCAAAGTCCGAAGCGTCACAGACGACG